GAGGTTTAGTTGTCAGTCAATCCATCTGGTCTGTGATGAGGTCACAGTGACTCCATCTGGTCTGTGATGAGGTTTTTAGGTCTCAATTAATTAGTTGAAGTCTCTTCACTTCATTCCTGCCCCCTCCTTTTTTGTTTTTTCGAGACGGTTTCTCTGTGTAGCCCTGGCAGTCCTGGAACTCGCTCTGTAGACCAGGCTGGCCCCAAGCTCACAAAGAACCACCTGCCTCTGCCTCTGCCCTCCCGAGTGCTAGGATTAAAGGTGCAAGCACAGCCGCCTGGCTTTGATCCATCCCTTAATGACAGTGGGGTAGAAGCTGCCCCCTGTCTTTCCCTTAGGGATGAATGCATCCATGTAACCCTTGTACCTTCTTGCTGGGCGATCCTTCTGTAACTGTGCACAGAGCTTTCTGGACCTTCCCAGCTGACTTGAGTCTCTCCTGTCTGATGGAGAGCAGGTAACCCGTGCTTCCTTTGGGCGTCTGCTTGCTTAGTATATAATTTCCCATTACATGCAAATAATTCTTTTTTTAAAGCAGGGTATATCACCTTTGCCTTTTTAATGTAGGAGTATGGTATTTACAAACACCCTTTGAAGCCCTAAAAGAAACCTTTTGTTCATGTATACTGGCATTTTAATGCATTGAAAAATCAACTTGGTATTATTTTGTCCAGCCCCTTTATGCATCTTGTATAAGCCATTGTACTGGGTGTTTTTGTGTGTTAACTTGACACAAACTAGATTCATCAGAGGAGGAGCCTCAGCTGTGGAAATGCCTTGATGAGATCCAGCTGCAAGGCATTTTCTCCCTTAGTGATCAGTGGGGAAGGACCAGCCCATGGTGGGTGGGGCCATCCCTGGGCTTCTGGTCCTGGGTTCTGTAAGAAAGCAGGCTGAGCAAGCCATGGTGGGCAGGCCAGCAAAGCAGCTGCTGCCTCCGGAATCCTGGCTGTTTGGGTTCCTGCCCTAATGCCCTTTATTGATGAACAATATGTGGACGTGGAAGCCGAATAACCCCTTCCTCCCCACGTTACTTTGGTCATGGTGTTCCGTCACAGCAATGGAAACCCTAAGACAACCATCCTCAATTTGGGGCTCTCCTGGTCATAGCTAAACCTAATCTTAAAAGATCAGTTTGGGTATTGAGGTCATGCTTGATTCACCAAAACAATCAGGAAATGTCCCATCAAGTTGTATGACTTGTAATGGTTTGAATGGTCTAATAGACACATAAAACTCTCTGGCCTCGACATGTTTTGTGTTGCCTCTTCATACTTTTTTCCTGTTTCTTCAGTGGGCTGTTGCTATGTTCAGGTAGTCTACCTGCTCTGGAGCCCTTCTGCACTTTATCAAATCTCATAGATTTATTAACAGAGAAGGTAATGTTACAATTTTTGAACATTTTAAATTACATTTGTTGTATTTGTGTATATAGGTGCATGTGTGGGGTTTCAAGTGAGCCATTGTGCACACATGCAGGTCTGAGGACAATTTGCATACTTGGTTGTCCCCGCCTACCATGTGGGTCCTGGGCATCCAACATCTGGTTTTCAGGCCTGGCAGCAAGCACCTTACTCACTGACCTGTCTTATCTTGGAGTCCATGGCAGCATTGTATTAGGCATTTCTTATCTCAAGCTGTATTTGCCCTACTACTTGGTGTTAAAGAAATGATACTCAAAGTAAAGCTACTAGAAGTTGCCATTTGTTTGTTTTTCTGAGACAGGTTTCTCTGTGTAGCCCTGGCAGTCCTAGGACTCACTCTGTAGACCTTGAACTCACAATGATCACCTGCCTCTGCCTCCCAAGTGCTGGGATTAAAGGTGTGCGCCACCACCACCTGGAAGAAGTACTCTTTTTAAAGAACTAACTCAAGAACTACTATGAACAAAAAACACTGGGGATTCTGTTATTTTTAAATTTTGTCAATTCTTTTCTACTTAGTTTTGTTTTCTAGATACTTTAATATCTAGCTCACTAGTTTTTATTCTTTTTGATGTAACAACAGCAGTATAGCTGTGAATTTTCCTCTGATAACAGCACTGGCTACCATCCTCATTCGGAGGGTGGTTGAGAGTGCTACACACGTCAGTGACTGTTCCATCTCAGCTTGCTCTGCTCTGGCGAGGCGTGGAAGCACATGGCAGCATGCTGGCCCAGAGCCCCACCTCATTTTGATGTAACAACAGCAGTATAGCTGTGAATTTTCCTCTGATAACAGCACTGGCTACCATCCTCATTCGGAGGGTGGTTGAGAGTGCTACACACGTCAGTGACTGTTCCATCTCAGCTTGCTCTGCTCTGGCGAGGCGTGGAAGCACATGGCAGCATGCTGGCCCAGAGCCCCACCTCATTTTGATGTAACAACAGCAGTATAGCTGTGAATTTTCCTCTGATAACAGCACTGGCTACCATCCTCATTCGGAGGGTGGTTGAGAGTGCTACACACGTCAGTGACTGTTCCATCTCAGCTTGCTCTGCTCTGGCGAGGCGTGGAAGCACATGGCAGCATGCTGGCCCAGAGCCCCACCTCACCTCTGCCTCCCAAGTGCTGGGATTAAAGGTGTGCGCCACCACCACCTGGAAGAAGTACTCTTTTTAAAGAACTAACTCAAGAACTACTATGAACAAAAAACACTGGGGATTCTGTTATTTTTAAATTTTGTCAATTCTTTTCTACTTAGTTTTGTTTTCTAGATACTTTAATATCTAGCTCACTAGTTTTTATTCTTTTTGATGTAACAACAGCAGTATAGCTGTGAATTTTCCTCTGATAACAGCACTGGCTACCATCCTCATTCGGAGGGTGGTTGAGAGTGCTACACACGTCAGTGACTGTTCCATCTCAGCTTGCTCTGCTCTGGCGAGGCGTGGAAGCACATGGCAGCATGCTGGCCCAGAGCCCCACCTCATTTTGATGTAACAACAGCAGTATAGCTGTGAATTTTCCTCTGATAACAGCACTGGCTACACTGCAAAGCTTTTCTACATACTCTCATTTTCATCAAAGAAGGCTTGGTTTCTCTTTGAAAAGTGTTCAAAAATTTACAAGCCATTATATTTATTTTTAGTTTGGGTAGTAATTTCAAATTTTATTCAGTTTGGGCAATTCCTACTAAAATTTTGAGATTCATGGAGCAGGGGTATAACAGAATTTTACAAAATGACCATGGATTTAAAGTATATGTATTTGCCATAACGTACAAAGGAATGTGAGGGTGGTTTTTTGTTGCCATTTTTTTATAAATATTTTTATAAATATTTTTTTAAAGATTTTATTTATTTATTATGTATACAGTATTCTGCTTCCATGTATATCTGCACACCAGAAGAGGGCACCAGATCTCATAACGGATGGTTGGAGCCACCATGTGGTTGCTGGGAATTGAACTCAGGACCTCTGGAAGAGCAGTCAGTGCCCAAACTGAAACTACTTCGTAATTCTCGAATCCACTCTTTCAGACCCACAAACACCGTTTTTCTCCCACTGCTGTGGTGGGCTTTGACAGGCATTGTGGGACCACAGAACACTTAGATGGAAATGGCCTTGCTTTGAAATGTTTCCATAGATGGCTGTTCTGCTTGCTTCCAGCTTTACCTAGACTCCCCAAATGAGTGAACTTCCATAAATTTTACCATGAAACAGATTGTTTCTCATAAAAGTTCACCATGTCTTTTTGAAAACCAACTGGGAATTACGAAGTAGTTTCAGTGGTCTCCATCCGTGCATGATACACCCAATATTCTCACTGTAGCAGTGACCGCACACGGTAATGCTTGCGGGGCAGTACTGGGCTAGTTACTAACGCTGCCTGTAGCTTGAGCAAGTCATTGCTTTTTCCATAGCTATGGAGTAGGAATAACAAAACTCCCCTCGTGAACTTGCTGTGATGAGAGCATGCTGATGTTCCGAAAGGGTCTGACACACCCTGATAATTTTCATCATACCTGAAGGAAGAAGTCGGAGCCAATGTGTGGTTCAGCTTGGACTTGCATCAGTATCTTCATCCCTAAAGCTGAACAGCCGCAAATTCGGACCTTGCTTTCTTGTCTTCTTTTTGATGGAGTTGCTCAAAACAGGCAATCAGACTGCTTGGCTCCTAACACCTGGTGCAGCAAACAGTGTGATGGGCCAAATGAACAAACAAGTGGGATGCTGTCACTGCCTCAGTGACACCCAAACGCAGCCAGAAAACACGATGCTTGTAGTTCTCCTCTGCCTACACCCACAGCTGGAATGTAAGTGACCAGCCTCCCTCTGGGCAGAGCAGAGTGTGTCACCTGCCCAGTGCGAAAGGCTTCAGGCCTGAGGAGCACTCTTTGTAAACCCAAGGCCTTTAGAGGACCATCACCACAGTGCCACAGCCAAGAGTGCACAGCCAGGGACACACAGGGTAGATGAATCATGCTGTCATGACAAAATATTCTGGGAGCCAAGTGGAAACCCAACTCCTTGATACCAACAGTGGCAATGTGGAGGAAGCCCCACCTTGGTCAGTGTCACCAGAAATACTGAGGGGATTGGTAATTGCAGGGTAGGTCCAAACCCCCTCCCATCCTCATTCGGAGGGTGGTTGAGAGTGCTACACACGTCAGTGACTGTTCCATCTCAGCTTGCTCTGCTCTGGCGAGGCGTGGAAGCACATGGCAGCATGCTGGCCCAGAGCCCCGCCTCATTTGCAAAATAATTTAGTTTTAGGTTCCCCTCGCTTCTTCCCATCCCCTTTCACACTCTTGGTCTAATTGAGAGAATCTACCAACCCTGACACTTGGACACTCGCCTCCAGCCAGAATGCTGCCGTCTGAATCAACCAAACATGTCAGGTCTGCTCACTAACGTGATAAGAGACTCAGGTCAAGAAGTGGAAGGAAATGGCCAGCTTGAGGCCTCAGCTGGACTGCTCCTGACTGGATGTCCAGGTAATAATTACTGAGGAGCATGTCCTCCATCTTTCTAAAGGGCTACTAAAGACAGTAGATAAGAATATGCACTCCACACCATTTTTAAAAATTATTTAGCATTCTTTATTCATTAAAAAAAATTATGTCATTAAAGATGACTTTTCCTTGCAAACTGACCAGAAACTGTGGCCTCTATTTTTGGCTACTTGATTGTTTAAATACATCAAGGTTAGATAAGTATTATGATGTAAGCATAAAAAATAGACAAGCCAAAAATACACTGTCCGAAAACACACTGTCAGGTGACTCTAAAGCTCCTCAGTTTCCTCGGGGAAGCCCCAGTTCCGTATTGGCCGTGACAGGACAGTCACTCGGGGCCTGCTTTGCCTAGGCCTGCCCCTCAGAAGCTGTGAAGCAGGCCAGCCAGCATGCACAGAGTGCTCACTAACTGTGGACCAACAGAACAACGGCGAGATTGGAAGAAAGTAAAATATTACAGCACACTCTCCATAAAGTGTGAGTTACAGTGCGAGGCTGAGGGAAAACAGACTTGAAGCCACAACCCTGGCTCAAAGCACAGGTCCCTCAGGGGTGAGGGACAGACCAAGTCCATCATCCTTCCTCAGTGTGGCCTCCTGTCGTCACTCAGAAATTACCTAGTAATGAACAGCCATATGCATTCTTCCCCCTGTGCAACCTCCTTGCCTTTCAGTCTGCTCTGGGAGCATGGCAGCATTAAGTGTGTGTGCCAGCTGGACAGACCACAAGAACTCCAGCACCAGCCACCATTCACAGGTTCCCTCACTCCTGTGAGAACAAGGACTAGCTGTTGTTTTCTAGTTCCCTAAAAGCATCTGAAGTTCTAGTAAAACGTTATCAAGAACTCGAGAGGTTTTGCAAAGGCTCCGTATTTCCAGGTGAAGTCACTGTCACACCTTGGAGCGTAACACAGGTTCACTCTGTGAGCCTACTGGTTGCTGACCTTTTGCTGTCAGGAGTCTGGGCAAGTTGGAGAGGGATTCCTTTCTGTCTCCGTGGTCTCACTGGCCAGCAACTGCTTTACTGAACCTAAAGAGAAACAGGCACATCTGGGGCTGTCAGAAATGTTTTCTGTGATCTTGCAACACAGGTGAGGAAATTCTGTTACATTCCAGAGGAAAGGCCGAGGCAAGGCACCTCAAGGAAACAAGCTTTGGGCAATGAGGTGAAATCATGAAAATACAGACTCCAGGGACGATGCCTGAGAGGACGACCCGGGTGACATCCACCTGTGAGCAGATGACAGACAGACGTCCACCTGTGAGCAGATGACCAGACAGACGTCCACGTGGCCACCTGGCTGTCCCCTCCTGCAGCTGGACTATGTCCGGCAGAGCTTCAGTGGGAAGTTCTCTGTGATGAGGTGGTCAGCATGAAGAAGAACCACCACATTAACCTCAAACTCTGCAGAGGGAGAGAGACGGCCACTTACACTGCGCTCGGAGAACAGACTCTTAACACAGTGGCCCGCACTGTAATTCCAGCACTTGAGAAGCTGAGGCAAGAGGAAGGCAGTATGCTTGAGGCCAGCCCGAGCTACAGAGTCAGTTCTAGTATGGTTTATGGTGTGGGCAAAGAGACACTGGCACCACACTGCAGAAACACAGCTCTGGGCAGGGCTTTGGGTGTATACACTCATTCATAGACACATACACAAAATTAAAAATAATAAATTACATAAAAAAAAAAAACATGGATTAGTGTTTTCCTAGGGTTAGTCAATAAGGACCACAGAGGCCATCACATCTGTGGAAGAAGGTGGCCAGAGCTGAAAACAATGTTGCAGCAGTATCCACACTGGCTTTAGGGGTGTGCAAGATGCTAAGGTTATAGTGTTATGGAGATTTGTACAAGTGTTTCAGAAAGCCACTGAGGCCAGGCAGGGCATGGCAGGGTCAAGTTCACTGCAGAGACGCCCTGAAAGAGGCCACTGTGTGAAGCTGTAAAGTTACACCCAGAGTTGGGGTGGGAAGCCCCAGAATGTTGGAGATTGGAGGACTTTGCTGGGCTCCAGTCTGACTTTGAGGGAGGCTTTCAGAAGTCAGGCTTTAGGTACCCTGTACGTGCAGCTTCTCACTGAGGCACTGATGAGTAATCAAAGGGCTGACAGCTGTAGCTGTGACTCCAGCAAACCTGTGTGAAGGTGCCTCTCCCTGTGGACCACACCTTCCCTCCCCTCCACCTGGCCCCACAGGCTTACCCACTTTGAAGTTAGTGGTCTCCAGGGTTGGGCAGGTGAACAGTCTGGGGAAGACCATGTAGAGAGGGACAGACAGACTCCTACAAATGTCCCCATCGGCGATTTGGATATTCTGAATCTCTGTGGCATCGCGTGCATACCCTTCTGCACACCCTGGGGAAGCAAGCAGCAAGCACCATAGGGTCAGGACACCACGGCACCAAAGCAAACTGGTCAGCAAACCCGTCCGGTACTGTGGCAGGCAGCAACAACACGTTTACCCACTCCCACAGTTTGTTCTTCAGGACTGGGAATCCCCTCCCTTCCATTTCTGACATCCTCAAACATCACCATGCTGGCTTTAGGTGCTGGGAACCCAGTACCCCGATTTGTACGTCACTGACCATCTGCAAGCGTGCGTAGGCCATGACGGTCATCAGAATAGCAGTGTTAGAAAAATGAGGTTCTGGGCACATCTTCTGTGTCACAATGTGGTGTCCTCTACCACGAGAAGACTACAGGGCGGGGTGGCTTAGTGGCTGACAACCTTTCCTGCTCTTGTCAAGGACCTAAGTTCTTTCCTCAGCACCCGCCATCAGGCAGATCACAATTGCCTCATAACTCCAGTTCTAAGGGATCCAACGCTCCTTTACAGCCTCACAGGTACCTACACACAAATATCACAGACACACAAGAGCAGGGGACACATCTGATGGCTTTGTGCAGAGGCTACCACTTGGTGAGGCACATTGAGCCAGCCTGGGCGCACTCCATATTATAACAGTCCTCTCCTGAGACAACCGTATAACCCGTCATGAAGACAGCCACCCCCAAAGCGCTCACTCCCTACACTGCTGTGCTGGGGACTAGGCTTCTGATGCACAGATTCTGGGAAGCACATCTATAGCTACCAAACGGACCTCCTGGCCGCCTAAGCATAGGAACATGGTCACCACCTCAGCAAAACTTTCTGAGGCTGCCTATTCACGATGTGTTGCTTTGCCCTTACTTCATGGCTTTCCACACAGGGCCTAGGAACCTCATGCACCACTACCAGGAATCGAGGGAAGCATTTTTAAAGCCCAGGTTTCCTGACTCCCAGGTACCACTCCACACTAGAATTAGAACCTCTGAGGACAGATATTAGGCATGCGCACACTAGCAGGCTCCAGGAGAATGGGCACAAATGACAGGACAGACTCAGATGCTCACAGCTCCAAAGCCTTACCACAGGTCTCCACCCGGACCAGCTGAAGCTCTATGCTCCGGATAGCAGCATCCGAGTGCTCCACCACCAGCTCTCCTGTCAGGGGCTGCGTGATGGCACAGTTGGTAGAGTTCAGATGTCCTCTAATGAGGAATTTGGGGAGTGAGGCCCTCTATGATAAAAAGAGATAAAAAGACATCAGGAACAAAAGGAAAAGAGCCATTGGTTGTTCCAGTTGCTTTGCTGCAAATAAGAACTGGAAACCAAGTTGGGTAATTGTTCTAGAAACTGCGGAAACCCTGTTGTACAAAACAAGAGAGAAGAATAGTGTTAGCATCTGTCGGTGGACATCAGAGCGACTCCTCAGGCGCCGTTTACCCATGTGAAGGACAAACAGACGGGACAGATCTGGGGAATCAACTTCCTGCCTTCACCAGCAACAGACATAATATGTCAGAGCCTGAGAAGTTGACAGGGTGGTTAAGGACAACCACCCATCAACCCCAGGCTGAAAAATAAACAAAGAAAAGTAACAAAGAAAGAGAAGAAAAAGAAAAAGAAGATCTAAGGAAAAGGGAAAAGGTAGTCAGTTTTACAATGTTCCCAATTAGGCAAGTTTGAAGCCAATTACTTTCATTTCAAGGCTACTGAAAGAGTAGTTTTTCTCAATTCCTGATGAAAAGCTGTGGGACCTTTTTCTGTAGACAGGAAGCTGGCCGAGGGGAACTGGCAGTCGCTCTGAAGGAGACTCGTTGGACAGTCACTGTAGGAGTCTTCATCTCTGTCATGTCCCACTATCCAGTTCCAGTAGAAGCAACATAAGCCACAAATTTAAAACCATTCAGAATTTGTAATTGCCTCAGAGTATAATTTAAAATTTTCTGGTATCTACACTAAAAATTTTTAACAGTATATCTAAAATGTTATCACTTCTGCATATAATCAATGAGAAATTTGAATGCTATAGTTCAGCCAGAAGACTGCTTGCCTGGCAGACATGGAGCTCTGGCTTTAGTCTCGAGTACCAGGAATGGTAGCACGCGCCTGTTGTTCTAGCCCTCAAGCGGAGGTAGCAGGATGAGAAGGTCAAAGTCATCCTCAACTAAATAATTCAAGGCCAATCTGGGATACACCAGACGGTCTCAAAAACAGAAAGTATAAGTGATGCTTTGCATTCTCTTTTACAAACCGATCTCTGAGACCAGGCCGGCCCTCTCAGCTTACTTCCCATCTTAAGTCAGCCAGCCACAGCTTGAGTGGCAGCGGTCACACAGGGCTGGTGGCCACCAGACTGGTGCAGCTCTGAACACCAGCAGTTTTTACCCATCAAACCCTCTAGAAATGTGTGGGTGGAAGACAAAGTTTGAAAAATGAATACAAGGAAAACAAGCTAGAAAGGTAGACAACAGCGAAGCTCACACAATGTTGAGGCAGTTTATGAGCCAGTGACCTCCAGTGTGGCTCTTGTGTCCCCTCCCCAGTGGTGAAGGCGTGGCCTGCACTGCACTGCTTTGAGCCTCATCTCTGCTCCCTGCATCTTCTGTGCAAGTCTTATTCTCCCCATCCCCTTTTCTCACCTAAAAAAGAAAAACCTCTAGTGATATTTTATAAATAACCATGTGTTATACAAGTTATTTAAAATAAAGCATGTGCCTTGCGGTGGTGGCGCACGCCTTTAATCCCAGCACCCAGGAGGCAGATGCAGGCGGATCTCTGTGAGTTCAAGGCCAGCCTGGTCCATAGAGTGAGTTCCAGGACAGCCAGGACTATTACACAGAGAAACCCTGTCTTGAAAAACCCAAATAAACAAACAAACAGAAATAAAATAAAGCCATGCTTTTCTCATTTTCCAATACTAACATGAAACCTGCCACTCCCTGTATGACACTTTTGACAAAACTCAGTGTCAGCTCACACTCGGGAGAAGAGTCTCACCAGGGCTGGCGGGAGACAATCTTACTAATAAATCTACACCAAGAACCAATATGTGAGGAACATAAAAGCAGGGGAAAGGGGACTCTGTTCCACACGTGGAGCCCTGTGAGGAGGAGCAGACGTGGGGTAGGACAAGGGGGCTGTGTCTACTGCAGAAGGGGGTGTGGAGGGGTAGAGGGCCCACGAAAATACACAAGGTGTACAAGAGGCAGGGCATGGAAATCTCCCTGGCCCCAGGACATTATGGCTACTGCCTTCCAGAACCTTCTGAAAGGGCTCCCTGTGACACACCCTTGAAGGAATGACATCAGTCATGACTCCAGTGTCCCAGATCTCCCAGACATGCCTTCAACCCAGTAATGAGCACAAGCAAAACGCAGACTTGAGTAAAAAGCCAAGTTCTAGCCAGAAAAGAGCTATAGACAGCACTGCTTGCTCTGAGATAAAATCGTTTACTAAAACTAAAACACGGGAGATTTTCTGGACGTAGAAGGCTGGCCACAGTGATCCAGCAGAGGCCTGCTGGGAGCTGCCACCAAGACCCAGGCATCCTTGGTTCTCATGTAAAGAAATCTGCTGGTGCAGCCCCAGCTCCTGTGTCCTTGCTGTCCACCCCACGAGCAGCTCTCATCTGCCTGGAATACCGGTGAGAGATTGCAGACTAAGCCTCAGTGAGGGACAGAGGCCAGGGCACAGGGAGAGAAAGGAGCAGGCCTGGGGGCAGGAGTCGTCACGCTCAGCAGGAAGACAGGCCAGCCAGGGGCCTGTAGTCCTGGATGATACTGGAGAAGGCCAGCCTGGGCAACAGGGTGAGGCGTCATCATTTCACAGAAATGGTATCATAGCATGTGGAGGAGCCTTGAAAAGTGCTGTCCTTTTCCCCCTAAGTAATGTCTGAAAATTCAGTATGAAAACACCCTTGGGTACAAACCACCCTCTTACCACTGACACCTCGACTCTCAACTAAGAACAACTGGGCAGCTAACTGGTCATTGGGTCACGTTACTACAGAAGCCACAACACGTGGGAAATGAGTACCTCTTTGACGTTCTGCAAGGTTTCCGGGGTGATGGTGAAGTCAACGGGACTTGGGGTCAGCTTCCCCTTCTGAGGCTGAAATGGAGTAAAACCACAGTCAGAGAGGTGAGGACAATGGAACAGCTTTTCCCTTCTGACTAAAAGGAAAGCAGCACAGAAAACTAACCGGAAGGACTTGGTAAGAGGCAGCCATTGGATTTCAAACAAACCCAGGTCTACCCACCCCCAGGAGTGTGTCATCTGTACCGCCAGGGGCCAGATGTCTCAACCTGAGACCTTCTGGGCTCAGAACTGAAGGTCAGACCTGAGGAACAGAACAGTAATGCTGGGAGCCGGGAACTGCCGCCACCTCACACACGAGGAGAGCACCTGCCCATTGTGTGCAAAGTTGAACCAGACTGGCTAGTGCTGTCTGCCGTTAGCTAAAGAGCTGTCCAGCTAGAATCATTCATGAGGCCAGGCTACACGGAAGCCTGCCTGGCACCCACCCAAGGGCTAGGATCCAAAACACCAGCAAGACCCAAGAACCACTCACTTCCCAAGTCTTATCCCCAGAGCTCTCTTCTGAACTCTGGATGAGTTCACAGCGTGTTCTTAGACTGTTCTTCCTGCTGCCCAGAGGACGCTGAACTTGTAAACCACATTCCAGAGTGAACTGCAGCCTCTCTGTGGAGGCCGCCACTGACAGCTCTCTTTTCTTTCCTTTTCTACCTACCCACCTGCTTGCCTACCTTTTTTTGAGACAAACTCTCCCCACATAGCCCTGACTGTCTTGGAACTTACTATGTAGACCACGCAGGCCTTGAACTCACAGAGATCTCCCTGCCTCCCGAGTGTTACCCAGTCTTGCCTTTTTTTTTTTTTTTTTTTTTTTTTTTTTTTTTTTTTGAGACAGTATCTCATCACTCAGTCGACAGCACAGGGTGGCTTTAAGCACACTATGTAGCCCAGGCTAATCTGAATTCCTGGTGACCATTCAGCGTCAGCCTTCGCAGCACTAGAATTACCAAACATGCTTGACTAACATCTAATTCCTGAAGGCCCTGTGGTGACAGAATACCATGAGCAGAGACAGGGGCCCTGGAGCCCTGATCACCTTAGGAGGGCCCTGCAGTCACAGGGTAGGGGCTTCAGAGAGGACCTGGGCTCAGGACTGACTTAGAACTCTCTGCTCTTCACGAAACGTAAAGCTTTCCTTGTTATAACCATAGGGGGCTGTGAGTCTGTTTCAGGACATAAAGCCCAAAACGCTTTAGATTATTTAAAGACCGTTGATGGAAAAAGAAGAAAATAGCCTTCTTTTAAAACACATAATTTTCAAAAGCAAAACAATTCAATCCTATTTTACACAAATCAGGAGCTGTAAGTAGGTAACTGTAATACTGGGGGTCCTAAAAATGCTACCCAAATAAAGGAGCACAATGAGGGCCTCAGTGACGACTTTGCTAACATCACGAAGAAGTGACTCCAATTCTGCACTGGGACTCACTTCCTAAGCATCCTGAGGGTGTCAGATCACAGTGTGACAAAAATGCAAGTACAGATTCTCCGTGACTGCCAACCATCCTCCCAGGATGCCCTGTCAAGTCCCTACTCACCGAGGTGCACAGTGCACCCGTGGGATCCAGTGGCTCCACCCAGCACCAACGTGGTGATGGTGTACTGAGTAGAGGCACCACTGCCCACACTACACAGAGATCCCCCATAGGTTGTAGAGCAGGCCTTTCCAGCTCCTGAAGGCCTCAGAGCAAGTTCTTGAGGTAGCTCTGGCCAACACTGTTCAGCAAACCTGCTGTACTATCCCTGGCAGCTCTCCAGCCTGGGGTTCCTCCAAGGTCCCTCTCAAGTGTCCTAACTCAGTCCTGGAACTCCTTAGACACACGGGTCTGATGGAGGGAACAGCAGGACAGCGGAGACAGACTGACCACTGGCCAGGGCTGAGACAAAGGCCAACGAGTGGCTGCCTCTGTGAAACCAGACCTCATGAGGTCTGAGAGACTGCTGGGGATGTGTCTGTCACCACACAGTACACCAGGGGAGATGTTGTCACTGCTGATTCTCTGTGACCATGGAGGCCACTGGGTCTCAACCCTCCTAATGGGGCGACCTTTTAATACACTTCCTCATGTTGTGGTGACCCCCAAACATAAAATTGTTTTCATTGCTACTTCATAACTAATTTTGCTACTGTTATGAATTGTGATATAAATATCTGTCCTTAGGTGATCCTTGTGAAAGGGTCATTGAACCCCCAAAGAAGTCACGACCCACAACAGGCTGAGGACCACTGATATAGGCAATGAGGGACTTGTTATGAACTCCCCAAGTGGCTGCAGCAGTGGCTTCAGGGGTCCAATTACCCAAGATGGCATGGAAAGGCATTTAAAAAAATTTGTACTGCCAGAGAAGCCCTGTCTCGAAAAACAAAAAACAAAAAACAAAAAAAAGTGCACTGCAAAATATAGGCAAAATGTGTAAGGATCAGAGAGAGACAGGCCTGCACCTGCATATCCCTGTGTTCTCACAGAGCACCAAGTGCCAAGCATTAAGTCTCTGGTGTGTTTGCCACAGCAGACTGGGGGCCAAGGTGAGTGTGTCCTTTGCAGAGAAAGGACAGTGAGTTCACTTACTACAGGTTGTAAAATGGCGTTTCCTAAAGTGAGGTGCAGACCCAGAAGCTGGGTGTCCCAGAAGCAGTGCCCACGCTGGTGTTCACGCCACCAGTCTTATCCCGTGCCTCAGGTCCTCTGCAGACCCAGCTGACTGCCTTGTCAACAGGTGCTATCTATCCCACACCTCATGGGAGAGCCTAGGGCTCTGAGGAGAGGCTTACAGCAGAATGAACGATGAATTCACAGGTCTTGGTCAGGTCCTTGGCCAACAGGGACCGCCGCATGTCACAGCGCAGTGTGTACTGGAGGAGAAGCAGGAGAGACAAACGTCATCTCAGTAGGCTTTGTTCTTATCTAGACACAACATCCAGAGTCACAAGGAGTCAACATATTTTAAGGACACTTTGGCCAATGGGTGAGTTTCACGAAGTGGATAGAAGAGAGAGGAATTATTGAGCAATTAAGGCATCTCTAAACAAAACACAGGCGGCTGTTCCACAGGCAGGGAGCAGGAAGTAAGAACCAGGGAGCAGAGCACCGGGGCTACAAGGCTGGACACAGCTGTCCACCTCCTGTGTGAGCCCAGAAAAACCACAACCCCTCTGAGCTGCATCTTCCCTCTGCAGCCCCAGGGATATGGAGGGTGACCTGTGAGGGGTGTCCATGAGCTCCACTCTGGACACCCAGGAGCAGCCTCGGGCACCTCACAAGTATCACACTGGATGCTAAGTGTGGGGCACCAGAGCCAAGTTGGGTCACACTGTCAGGAGGAGTTTTTCATTTATAAACAAGGAGCCATGAATGATCGATCACATGAAGAAAAAAGAAAACAAAAACAGGACTCCAGGGAATCCTAAAAACTGTTTCTGTGTACTTTAAAGGGGAAATAAAGATGTATTTTAAAAATTCAGAGACAGAGCAGTAAGAAGGCTATGATTAAGCTCCAAGTCCAGACACCACAGAGCCAGCCTCCTTTCCCAGCTGTCCTTCCAACCCTGCCCATCAATCTCCAGTTAAAGCCTGGAGGGAGGGGCTCAGGAGACAGAAGCTTTGCCTGGGCTTATTCCTTTCTTGAGTGTGGTGGATTTTCGAAGCATGTCACTGGCAGAGTGCCTGCTGTGAGGAGCTCCTGTCCTCCCCAGGAGCCAGGGTCTCTGCTGTGAGGAGCTCCTGTCTTCCCCAGGAGCCAGCCAGGCAGGCAATGTGGCCGCTAAGCTTACTTGGTTGTGACACAGCAACTGTGGCCTTAAATCCCTGGCCATGAGCTGAGGCAGCTCAGAGACCACTTTAGGGAAAACTTGGGGAGCCAGGGTGTGGCCAAGTGGCACTCCTCTCAGCATCATAACTTAGACCCAGACTCTCATAGAGCTCCCGTTCAGTCAGCTTGTTGATTTAATCATGTAGGAAAAACTTCTGAATTGTGCCAAAAATAATGTTCATAGCTAGGACCGTATGCATAGCTATGAATCTTCTAAGACGTTACACTCTAAGAGCAACCTTTCCACATGAAATAAGTTCCTGTATATTTGAGGTACTGCAGGGAGATAAAACGTTTTTATAAGAATCATCTCTTGCCTATAAGGATCTAAGAATTTATTTATGTGTATATGCAGTATATATATTCTCTAAGGACACTGCAATCTGTTCTCCTCAAAGCAGACAAGCTCATTTAGGCTGGTGTGTGTACATGCAAGCACACAAGTACACTGCCCCACTTCCTGGACTTCATGTGCACTGAAGGGAGCCTGGCCTCTACCACCTCCCTCAACAGTTCAGAAGTGCTAGGTAAAGCCAGAACCATTTAAGGGACTTGAGGAAACTATTTTCTTTTACTGAGTCATGAGCTCAGAAGATGGAAGCTACACCTGTTCAGTGGCCTCCAGCTTTGCTCTAACAAGGGAGAAGATGTCCCCAAGTGTCCCCAAGGACAAAGAACACAGTACACAAGAAAGCCAAGCTCAAACATTCTGGTGCCCTGGTCTCCAATCCAGCCAAGCCACCCTCCTGGAATCTCAAATCCATGATATAGGTCCCTATCAATTTAAGTTCACTGTACAATTTGTGAAAGGAAGGTATGAGTCACAGACGTCCACTTTGGTCTCTATACATGAAGGGTGAGACCAATCATTTGTAAATGAATGAATCATGTAATCTGTTGGGGGGGGCAAGGTGAAACAAAGAGGCAACTTCTGTGTGTGTTCTAGGAGGGTCAAGTCCTTCCTTGTCTATTGTTTCAGTTAACTTACAGCACTGATGGGATTCCAGCTGTTGCAAGGGGGATGAAGAGATGAAGGGGGAGGGTTCAGTGGTTAAAAGCACTGCTGCTCTTGCAGAGGACCTGGATTTGACCCCAGTGTCCACATGGTGGCTTAAAACCATCTTCATTTAACTCGGGGATTTGATACCCTCTTCTGGCCTCCATGGTCACTGCATACACAAGGTGCACAGATACATGCAGGGAACACCCACACATGAAATAAACATTTGAAAAATGTTGTTACTAGTGCACGCCTTTAACCCCAGCACTCCGGAGGCAGATGCAAGTGGAGCTCTGTGAGTTCAAGGCCAGCCTGATCTATATATGAGTTCCAAACAAACAAAAAACAAAATGAGTTGTTACAAGGCTACTGTAAGGAGAGTCATCAATTCTTGCATTCATCACTAGGCAGCTACTCACTTCGTGACATTCTGTGTGACAGGCGGTTCTCTCACTAACCTCCTTGCAGCAAGGTCAGGTAGGTTGCTGGAGGAGGTTCACAGAGGTGGGATTTGAATGGACCCCTGCCCACTGCCAAAACCTACACCAAATCCTTTCACAATGTGATGGCAGGAATGTAATGCAAACCCAGGTCTGCCCACTGTCAGTCCTGGTCTCTCACTTTGTAACTAACTTCCCAGGTCCTGTGGAGTGATCGTGTGGGGAGAGCCACAGAGGAGGTCAGAGGGCAACAGGACGCCAGACATCAGCAGAATTACCAAAAGAGACATAAGGTTGGATTTTTTTTTAAGGTTTAAAATTATGTGTTTGTGTGTGGGTGTCTTCATGTGGATATGTACATGTGAAGGAAGGAAGCTGTGCGGGAGTCCCTGGGGCTACAGTCAGCGGAGGCTGTGACTGCTAGGACCAACTCTGCAAGAACACTGAGTGCTTTTAACCACTGAACCGTCTGTCCAACACGCGCGTGAGCGCGCACACACACACACACACACACACACACACACACACACACACACACACACACGGTATTCTTAACCCTGAAAAGGCAGACTAGAATTTTTATAAATTAATTCTGAGTATGAGATTTTAGCAGACATGGTAACACTGCTGTCTGTGCTATAAAATTTTGTCAGTATGGCCACAAGAGCAGAACTCAGTAAGAAATAACAAGCAAGCCTCAGCAAGTCAGGAATTTAAAGCAGGTTACATTTTAAACCCTTTATTTTGTCTCATGATTTTTACATTATGCTACTACAATACTCAAAATATAAATGATATGGTTTCTTCTTTTTTTTTTTTAAAGGATTTTATTCCACCGTGTTGGGGTAGTTCCCTGGGAAGAGAACGGTCCCAAGTTTCCAAAGCAAGCAGTTACTGTTTTTTTGTTGTTTTTTTTTTAAAGATTTATTTATTTATTTATCATGTATACAATTCGTGCCAGAAGGGGGCACCAGATCACATTACATACGGTTGTGAGCCACCATGTGGTTGCTGGGAATTGAACTCAGAACCTCGGGAAGAACAGTCAGTGCTCTTAACCCCTGAGCCATCTCTCCAGCCCCATGAAATGGTTTCTTATGTCTACATAATTTGAGAACGGATTAAGACTTAACAACACAGCTTTTGCCGGGCTGTGGTGGCACACACCTTTAATCTCAGCACTCAGGAGACAGATTTAGGCTCTGTGAGTTCGAGGTCAGCCTGATGTACAGAGTGAGTTCCAGGACAGCCAGGACTATACAGAGAAGCCCTGTCTCAAACAAACAAACCAACAAACAAACAAACAAACAAACAAACAAAAAAACCCCAAAAATCCAACAACAACAAAAAAGTAACCAAAGCTTTTATTCAAATTAACGTAACGTACCTGTGAACATTACGTAATCTTTAGAGGAGCATGGTCAAAGATAGAAGCTATGAGTGATACACTGAGAATCCCTATGTATGCTGAGATGAGCCACATGACCACAGAAAGTCACTGTCCTCTCTGGATGACACTTGCTTACTGACAAAGAAGCTAGGAAAAGACCTGTCAAACAAAGGGTGGGTGGTTGGGAGGAACAGCAAAAAGTCATAATCCTAGATACTACTAAGTAGATTTTCTCAAGAGAAAATGATACATTTGCACAGGAGCTAGAAATTATTTGAGAATTTATGTTAATTTTGATAAAAACATTAACTGTGATTTTGTGTAAGTCTCCAGGTTTTTGGAGATGGATACTGAAGTAATGAGACCTGAAGTGCACGTGGGCTGTGCAGCTAACTTTCAGGTGACTCAGAAAATGAACACGGAGGAAAAAGGATGGCAGGGTTGGGGTGCGGCTGAAGCACAGACCTGAATGCACACAGCCGGTTCCAACCGGAAAACACTAACAGTGATAAGTTGTGATAAGCTCATAGAAACCTGAGGCTCGGCTAAGAAGAAATCGCATCTTTACGATTTTTAAAGGTATTGGGGGCTATGTACAGTTCCATGTTGTAGCTGAGGTTAACCCAAGGAAAAAGTTGGGTGGGCATCATTAGCTGTGCTCGAGAACTAGCCACACACTAACACTCTCTTGCATCTATGAGCTCCCAGGACATACACAGTCTACACTGTCAAAGAACTCATGCTACATTTGTATTCTTAGCAGAATTTGGAAAAGGATGAGACTTCCAATCTAACTTTAAGTAAATCCACTTTTTCTCTTAAGAGACAATAAACAAAGGAGACTATGGCCAGAAAAACTGATCTCATTCCAACAGGTTTCCTTTTCAGTTTTCTTTGTGTATATGGTGTGTGGTGTGCACTGTAGCGCACCTGCAGAAGCCACAGGGCGACTTCTGCCATGCAAGGCTTGGGGAGAGAGCCCAGGCATGGCAGCAGGCAGCTTCACCTGCAGAGCCGTGCTCAGGGCCAGCCCTGCACTCAGTATGCTGTGTGTCTTTAGTTATATACATATGTGTTCAGCTGACCACAGAGACCTAAGGCATCAGGTCACCTGGAGCTGAGGTAGATGTGAACAGCCCACATGGGTGCCAGGAACCAAACTTGGGGCCCTTAAAGAGCAGTACCCAGTCTTAACTGCTGGGGCCTCTCTCCAGCACCGGCTTTGTTCCTGAGGTTTATTTTTATGTGTGTATGCGCACATGTGGGTGTGTGTCACTGTCACTGCCTGCACAGGTAGGTCTGTGAGAAAGAGGGCTGAAAGCATCTTCTTCAGAGAAAAGTAGCGTTTTGCACTAGAGTACACTGTCCTGTCGTTCACCTTGACAGATATTCAGTTCATGAAACTCACAGAAAACTAAACCTTTAATTAATGCTCCCAAATATTCTGAAGTTATTTTTTTAATGTGCTAGATTTTCAGCAAATGAGTGGTGCTCACTAAGTGCAGATGTGATTAACTTAAACTTGATTAACAAATCAAACAACTCTCTCATCCTCTGCCTTTTTGTGCATCCTAAGACTTTGGGGTTTCCTCACTTAGCAAGAGCTGCTGCAAGGCAGACTACACAAAAGTACCTTTCTTTGCACTGGATGAAGGAAGGGGCTCTTTCTCTGGCTGAGTCATGACTGAGACAATAGCAACTGTGAAAGCCATCCCTCACAGCAGAGGTAGACAGGAAGTCATAAACCCACTTCCCCTCATTTACAAGGTCTCCTCAATGAAGAATACAGCCTATGTTAAGCGGCAGCCTTTGGGTATCACACAAAGAGATACTCATAAGAATGAAACAGACAAGTCAGTGCAGGTGCCAGAAAGAGATTGAAGCAGTTCTGTGCCCCTGATGGTGTCACTGTGGCCTGAGGAAAATACAGACAAACAAAGGAACTTAAGCATTTATAACCATGGCTCCTACTCACCACAGGGTCACTGGGGCTCAGGGTAATAACTGCTGCAGCATGTGTGAGGCTCAGGCTTTCATCTCTAGCACTGCAAAATTAGTAACTCACACACACACAAGATGTAGTTAGCAGGACAAAACGAGAAATCGCTACAGCATGTCCACAATTCAGAGTGTTGAGTTCAGCTGTCTCAGTGAAGACAAGCAGTCAAGCTGGTCTTGAGCAGAAGAACAAGGTGTCATGTATGTGGGGCAGGAACTCACCTGGATGTTCACAAACACGCCGTGGTAGGTCTCATACAGGACTTTGCTGCCCTTCACATGCAGAGGAAACTCGAAGGGAATCTCAGTCTTACCACTGGGGAGCTTTCCTGGCTTCAGCACGTCTATGGTGCTGCTGAGGATCTGGATGGGCTGTCAACACAAGTAAGCCGCAGGGTCAGCACACACAGTCACGCCAGCAGCACAGGGGGTGCGGATGCTCCTGTGTTCCTGGACAGACAGCAAGCTGCTTCTGTGTTTTAAGTCTGCACAATAATGGTTCATTTCTTTAAAAAAATCTTCTCACTGCACTTAGTTAATGTAGTGTGAGTGTGTGCATGCATGTGTACGATGCACACATGCCACCACAGTTTGCATGTAGAAGTCTGCTAGCAGGACACAGAAGCAACACAGGCTGATCTCAGGCTGCTATGTAAGAACTGAAACTGTGAGGGCCATGAACCTTGCCAAGTCACGACAGCTACCAAGGCACACGGCGAATATACAGATCCACGGTACCAGTGCCACACTGGCTCTTACCTTCACAGAGTTGTAAAAGGCTTCGAACACGCCCACACTTTTGGCACTGAGCTGGAGGTTTACAGTCCCTTCCATTGTCAAAGACACTCCCTGGTGCTGGACGGAGTCTTTGCTAGAGATGACCACCACACCAGAGAGCATTTCCTGGGGACAAGACACAGCTTCCAATCAGAACAGCATACCCCCTGAACAATCCTGTGGAGATGTCTCCGCCCTCCCCGCCCCTGCCGGACAACAGTGAAGCCAGGCCTGGACAGAGGATGCGCTGGGCCCTTCCCCCAGTGTCACCTTCCAGACTCATCTTCAGTCCTGGCTGGTAAGGGCCCACCTGAATCTGGTTCAGAAATACTGCCAGCAAATGGCCCTGTGATGGCGGCACAAAGCTGGTGACAACAAAGGAAACATGGAGAGTAGGACAGCAGGGACCCTGAGCCCACACCGACTCTGCTGCATACTTCACTCCTGTTCTCCAGGGAAGACAGCTTCGTGTCATGTGCTCTGTGGGACTGCCGGGCAGGGTGTACCTGTGTTTAGTGAATGTCCTAAGTATGTTTTTCACTACCTACTCCAGAGCCCCAAAATCTACATGAAAAGGGGCCAGCAGGATGGTTGGTACAGCGGGTAAAAAGACACTTGCTGCCAAGCCTGATGGCTTGAGTTCAATTCCTGGGACTGACCCACGTGATGGGAGAAACCTGACTTCCACAAGATGTTCTCTGACCTTCACATACCCAATCACAGAAATAGTGTGTTTTGAGTGATCAGTATTATCTTCATTCTCATCAGAATCCCAGGAGAACTTTATGTTCATAGAACATGAAAATGCCTCTGAAATACTTTAGCTTCTAAATTTAATTTTAAAATAATTCTGCTAGACCTTTATTCCAAGCACTTGGGAGGCAGAGGCTGTGGATCTCTGAGTTCAAAACCTATAGGGAGAAAGCATGTTTAGCTTTACCTGTGACCACGCCCAAGCTGGCATGGTCAGCAGTACCTCTAATCATGCTTTCTCCCTACACCGGCCTGTTTTATAGAGTGAGTCCCAGAACAGCCAGGGCTTCACAGAGAAACCCTGTCTTAAAAAATAACACAAAATAAAAAAATTCAAAATACTAATTTGTTAATAAATCAGGCGTTCTTATATACTATGCAATTCCCATTAAAAAAAAAAAAAAAAAACAAAAAAAAAACAAACTCTCCCCACTCTTACCTAGACGTTCAGCACAAAGGGAAGAAAATGCATGTCTCCAGACAGGATCCATGCCTTACCCCCGACATCAGACAGGGATCTCAGGACTTCAGAGGGGAAACCCTTTCCAGTTGTGGATGGCAATGGACCTGGACATCTTACAGGGAAACTCCTATGTGTGTGTGGTGTTAGGAAGAAGAGCCGTGGCCCTTATCATAGGAAGGTGATCCTTAACCCAGGGGAGCTGAGATAACTAGAAACCAGAATGAGGAGAATGCAGCTCCATGTTGTATGTGTGTAGAAAACAAGGAAGGCGGGCACAGTGCTCTATACTCCTCTATGTACAAATGTGAACCCGGGTTCTCCTCAAAGTAGGCAGCATGGCCAGCCGCCTCACTGACCCTGAGAGAAACTCAACCCTTCCTTGAGGCACAGGGCCAAGTGTTCTGCACAGAGGTTCAGTCTCTGCTCTGGAGACACTGGAGGTGGACCAGAAATCCAGAGATGATCCTGAGGGTGCACACAGTGCAAGCTTCCCATTCACCCCTGGCCTCAGCCTTGTAATCTTCACAGCAAAAACCATATCACCTTTGACCAAGAAGACACTTCCAAATCTGTCAGCAGAATGTAAGAGGCCACCCCAGACTGTGCAATGACTCTTTTGTACCTGGAAATAAAATGGCCAAACCATAATGTGTACTAAGAAACAAACAGTCGGGTGTTGATGGCGCACGCCTTTAATCCCAGCACTTGGGAGGCAGAGGCAGGTGGATCTCTGTGAGTCTGAGGCCAGCCTGGTCTACAGAAAGAGTTCCAGAACAGCCAGGGCTACACAGAGAAACCCTGTTTTGAAAAAACAAACAAAAAAATGAGATTGTACGGGGCTGAAGATGGCTGCACGGGAAGAGCTCACACTCCTCTAAACCCATCAGGCAGCTCACAACCACATGTAAGTCCACTCCGGGGAGTCAACACTGAGGGTCCGTCCCTACAGGCACCTGCACTCACATGCACACAGACACACTTTACAAACAAAAGTGAGATAATGCTACCCACTCCTCAAGTTTCCCAAAAGGAAAATGAAGGCTTACCTTCACCTGAGAACCTCTGCATAAACAGCTGTAGCAATTTTACTCCCATCTATGCACATGCCCTCCTATGGATGGATGGATGCAGACTGTGGTTCATTCATACGGGGTCAGACAACTCAGCAATAAAAAGGTAACAACTAAGCTAGGAGTGATGGCACACACCTAACCCCAAACTGAGGGCCGGGGTGTCAACTGGGCAAGAGGGCTGTGAGCTTGAGGCCAGTGTGGACTACATAGTTCAGGGTTCTTCACTGCACAGAAGCAGGTCACCAGAACCCCTCCTCTACATGTCTGTCTGAGCTGTGCGTGGCGGGGCATGACCCAGGGACAGCTCTCACTTCCTCTCAGGTGTCACTCTCCAGTGTTACCATTTTACAGTGACAATGCAACTGTGAGAAGAACAGTTCAGCTTCCAGATGTAGCCTAGAAACAGCTGATCCAGAAAATGCTGAGGAAAAGAGAGTGCATCTGAAGCCACCTGGGTTTGGCGAGCTGCGCAGTTCCTCCCTTGGCCCTGGATGTCACACAGGACAAGACAGTAAGAAACTCTGCTCAGCAAGTATCTCTCCACTGCATGCTGCCGTCAGGTACTGGTTTGTTTCTGCTTCTCTAGAGCAGTTAGAGCCCGTGTGTGAGATGGAGAGAAAACAGGTCATTCCTACCCGTTTAGCAATGTCAGTCTCAGGGCTTCCAGATGGTTCAGCAGGTAAAGGCACCTGCTACCAAACCTCCTGTTAGGAGAGAACCAAATCCACTAGTTGTCGTCTGACCTACACACAGACAGACAGACAGACACACACACACACACATGAATGAATGACATGGAAAAAGTCATTCTCCCTAAGTACAAACTCAAGCCTAGAGTAGTGTCTGGGGTTGGAGAAGAAAGTACAGATAGAACAGAGAGTGTAACCACCACTCAAGAGCTGGGGTGTGTGTGTGTGCGTGGCTCGCAATGACCATGGAGAACAAATAGAAGGCTGGCTTCCAAAAAAAAGAAAGAAAGAAAAGCCAGGCAGTGCTGGCGCATGCCTTTAGTCCCAGCACTCAGGATGCAGAGGCAGGTGGATCTCTATGAGTTCAGACCAGCCTGGTCTACAGGAGCTAGTTCCAGGACAGCCTCCAAAGCCACAGAGAAACCTGTCTCAACCCCCATCCCCAAAAAGAAGAGTGGCTTCATTTGAATGTCTCAGTGACTCACCTTGCTAAGAGGTCAGTCAATAATCAAGGGCAAACATAGGACATTGAGGAATGGGTGTCACCGAGGACTGTACCCAGTGTTCAACTGCAGTCACATCTGCCCAGCAACCACCCAACACATGCCCTCTCACTCATCTTCTGAGCTGGCTGGCACCAGGACTGCCCACAAAGCATTCTGCCTTGACTGCTGTGTAAGCCAAGGACAGACAGACCAGTGGGGCGCTGACAGTCTGGGGCACTGATGGGGTACTGACTGGGAAGGAGTCAGCAAAGGGAAAACAGTACCAGAGAGGGGCTGTGGTGAATACTGATTATAACCCTGATAGGATTAGGTAGGAGACAAGCCTCTGGGCAGCCCGAGAGGGGCCATCTGGATTAGGTTAACTGAGGAAAGTAGCCCAGCGCTAACACTCTTAGCTTCCGGACAGCAGACGCCTTGTGACCAGTGCCTCAAGCCCCTTCACCATCAACTCCCCATCACGGACTGAGAGCCAGCATCAACCCTTGCTTCCTTGAGCTGCCTTGGTCAGGGCATTTAAGCTCAGGAGTATGAGAAGTAACTAATACAGGGACCAGCTGCCCAGCGGTCCTGGGCTGACTCGCTACACAGCTGGGCATGAAGCCCTGCAGACTACAGCAAGAGCAGCTGGGTGGAGAATGCAGGTTTCGGGCCACACAGAGGGCCCAGTGAGCAGCATGAGGCAGCACTCAGGTAAGAGGAAGACGGGGGAGAACAACAAGGGCTCAGCAGGGAGAAAGTCCAAGCAGCCCCAGCGGCAGGGTGCAGGGTAGAGCAAGCTCAAATATGTGAGCCTATGGGGGTCATTCTCATTCAAACCGCAATAATATAGTTAGCCCTCCTGTCTTTGTAAAGATTTATTTCATGAGTGGGTCTTTTACCTGCCTGTATGCCTGTGCACTGTGTGCATTCCTGGTGCCTACAAAGGCCAGAAGAGGGCATGGGATCCCATGGACTGTGAGCTGGTTGTGAGCCACCAGGTAGATGCTAGGAACCAGGTCAGGATCCTCTACAAAAGTAGCCAGTGCTGAGAACTCAAGCCACCTCTCCAGCCCCGAGCTTTCATTTTTAAAGAGCATTATAGTTTTGTAACTTTTCATTAAAAATAATGAGTTGTTGCATTTAAGATTTTCACCTTTATTTTTTAAGAAGGAGTTACATGTAAGACAAAGTGAGCATAGAGTTCTGGGATCTTTTCGGGGAGTGGGTAGCCAACAGTAACCACCCCATGGCACAGAAATCTCTTGTCATGGTAACCTGGTTGTGCAAGGAGTGTATGCATCTATCTCCTTTGTATTTCACAAGTCTAATATCCAATGGTGTCACTTTCAAGAGTACATATATCATTTAAGAATAAGGCATTCCGAATTCATAAAAACAGATGAATTATATTTACATTACAGAAAATTTTACTGTGAGGTTCTTCTGGCCAATGAGCTCCTCCAGTACAGCAAAACATAACGAAACTCACAATGTCATATGCATTTTTGTTCAAGTAGCTGTTAGTGCACCACACAAAGAACAGAATGTCACAGAGTGACAGAACAGTGTCCTTTCCTCTTAAACTATTTTATTGTCTTGACTTTTAAAACTATTTATTTGAAGTTACATGCATACACTTGTATCTGTGAGTGGGTGTGAGCGTGTGAGTGCAGGTGCGATCCAAGACCAGAGGTGTCAAGAGTCCTGGAGCGGGAGTCCCAGGTGGTTGCAAGTGGCCTGACTGGTGCTGGGGAGCCAATGTGGATCTCTCCAAGGTAGCACCTGTTCTTAACGGCTCACCCGTCTCTCTGGCCCTTTATCTTGTGATCCCAGGCTGTATCACACTCAGTATGCAGCCGAGGATGGCCATGAACTTGTGACCCTCCTACCTCTAACTCCTGGGCGGTCACCACCACCACCACGTCTGGTGGTGGTAGCGCCAGGGGCTGAGCCCAGGGCTTAGTGCGCGCTTGCGACTATTTTACCATTCGAGCTACTTCGGCAGCCTGTTTTTCTTTTTCCCTAAAGAATATGCCAGTGGTCTGACAGTGTCCCTCAAGTGAGAGAGGCAGGCCCGACCGCTCCCCTGTAAGCGGGTTAACTGTTTTGGCAGTGATGTGGCATGAGTCCCTCTCTCTCAGCGCACCTCACCAGAGTCCAGAGTGCCTTCCACACCGCGTGCGGGAACCTAGGAGGTGTCTGGGTTGGGGGGAGGGGGGTCTTTGAATGCTGACAGACGACAAAACCGCGAAGGAGCGCTTCCCTGTGTGTGCGGGGGTGGAAGTGGGGTGTGTCCCGACACTGACTGGCGGGCTGTGCGTGAGGATCGCTGGGGTCTCCTCCCGGGGTGACCAAGGG